AGAGAGACGAGGACTTTGACTTTTCGAGCGAGTTGTTGCTGTTGCTGTAGAGAGTGAGGGAGATGTTGTAAGAATGCTTGTAGTATTCCTTCTTGGCATCGAAAGGCCAGTAGCCCCAAGCAGCAGGGACGGCAGAATCGGTGAACTCCTTGTACTTCTCCCATGACTTGCTGGTGGCATTGTAGATGTCCAGGCGGGGAGTGATCATGAGTGTCGAGTTGTCTGTGGACTTTGTCTTGTTGAAGTAATCGGGGTCCCAGGTAACTGTAGGAAACGTGTTAGTGGTTGCAATTGAGGACCAATACATGAATAGCCACTTACCGAAGTAGGTCTTGCCAACATCAAGGGTGCTGTTGGCATAGGGGGCGCAGAAGGGAGCATTGTCGCCATCCTGATTGTAGCATCGAGAAAAGACACCCTCGCCGTGCTTGCCCGTGGCCTGGGGGTTAGGAGGTTCACCAGTACTGGTGTAGGCCTTGCCCCAGCTGGTGTAGGTGTAGACACTGGCGGTAAGATCGTGAGGCGCAGCGTCGAGAAGAGAGGTGCTGCCGTCGACGGTGGTGTACGAGGGAGTGTAGGTCGTGGCGGGCTGCATGTCGTCGTCGACGGTGACCCAGGCGGCAGTCTTCTCAGCTCGCTTCTCGAGACCGTGGGCGTTGGCTTCGATGTCACGCTCGTGATGGTCGACATAGCGGATAACCGTGGCAGATGCCGATGCCATCAGGCCCATTGAGGCAAAGATCTTTGATGCGTGCATTGTTGTTGTTTGTTGTTGTTCCCTCGGTGATGCCGACTGTCCTGTTCTTCTCTTTTCTTTCCTGGTCTGCAATGAGACTCTACCTGACCACGCGCAAGTAATCGCCGAGGGAGAACAAGGGCGATGATGAAGGGAGGAGAAGAGGTAGAGGTTGAAAGGAAAGAAAAGGAAGAAGGTGATGAAAAAGCTGGGACCCGGGAGATGAATATACGATGCGTGACAACAGCAACAACAGGAGAGACCGATCGGGCCGGGCGGAATTGGAATTGGAACCAACCACATCAAGGACTTTTCCTTATTTCGCGCAGGTTGTAGTGGGTCGCTGCGGCACCCCGTTGGCGCTAAAGACCTCAAGTCCCCAGGGGATTACCAGGGCACGCGGTCGTAAAAAAACATAATCCACCGAAGTCCCAGCCCAGCATATAAAATACAGGCAGTACTAAGGACCTTACATATCTTAGGTAACCTTAGATTATCTGTAATAAGGTCAGAAAAAAGAATTATAAATTTAAAGAGATATTATCTAAACCTTAGGCTTCTCATAGGTACAATAATCCTAAATTTCTAATCTAAATAATATAATATCAGGCCTCTAAGTAATGACTTCTTTGGTGGCTCATGTTTTTTTACGACCGCGTGCAGGGGTCGTTATCCGTATGGGGCTTTAGATTATTCAGTGAATGATCGAGACATCTACTACCTAGGTAACTCTACACTCTTGAATCATTGTTCCTGAATATTGCAGTCTTCTCTGCTGGTACTAAGTACTATCTATCAATTTGTACTCTAGCAGGCTGGAACAGTCCATCCTATACACCAAAGCTTTGGAAAACATATGACATCATGTCCGCGTCGCCCGTTCCGAGGCTCGTCTGCTCATTGCGGCTCCTCCGGCAATAGCACCGACTGAAAAGCTCCATGCAGGTACTTAACTAGGTATGTACTGCCTACCTAGTAACTTAGTAGTTTAACAAATAATCGATAATTTTACACAACTTTAGGTAAAAGAGCATAAAATACCCGGAACAATAGAATAACTTATTAGTCAGATGATGTATTGAACTATTTAATTATTTCGTAGTCCTTTTACTAAGGTGGGTTTGCTTTCTTAATAGGTAGGTGTAAGTGGACTCGGAACATACTCTGGAGAGGGAAATTTGCTGGGCTTTTGCATGAAATCGTGATTAAAAGCAATGGTATATGAACTGCATACAAGTCTTTGGTATTATCGATCACAATTTGAGTAGAACTGACAGGAACCACACACAATTATTGTGGTACTGTAATTAAGAAGATCTCACGCGAATGTACTAAATATTTATCACCTGGTTTCCCCGCCCAGGGTGGGCGTTTTTCCGAATACATTCTATTGAGCTTAGAAACTACGATATGAGTCCTTGGTTTACCATTGATCAACGGCCATCACAATAGCTAGTCCATATCCTGAAAATTTGTCACCCACTACTTCTTCTCATTCTTCTCTTCCGGCGGAATCTTGCTAGGGCAATCATCATTGGGACACGCTTCAGCCGTCAGACCCTGAGTTACTTTCTGAGTGATTCCTGGTTTGTGCGACGTAAACCAAGAGCTGGGAGGAATCAACCCCTCGTCCTCGCGGCGCACCTCTAGACTGGTCTTGAGGTACGGCATACAGTACTTCCACTGCAGGGTGACGGTGTCCAAGCAAACAGGACACTGGGCGACAGTTTCGGTACACATGATGGTGGTTATTCGGCTGGCTAATGCGAGATCTTGTTGTCGAAGACTTGCTGAAAGTACAGAGTGCAATGTTGGGAGAGGGTTGATGAGCATGGGCGAGTCGGAATTTATAGATAGCGTGCTGTCGTGATCAAGACATATCTCATGGACTTGCCACTTCATCGCAGCCGAGGTCTGGTATGAATCAATGGAGGAAATGAGCATAGTATACCAGGAAGTGACTGACGGACTGCTAGTGTTTATATGTGATCGGCGATCCATAAAACCTGTCAGTTTCGATATCTGAGTAAACATCAACGTAACATACGATTGCTATTGACTCTTGACTCCATGTTAAACGGACTTGCACAACAGACAAAAAGTCATTGCCATTGGTGGTAGATAGGCGCCGTGCATAAGAATCCCTGCGACAAAGGTCATGAAACAGTGACACAAACGACAGATAGAGTAGAGAAGTAAGTATAATAGCCATCGGATCCGATCTGTATACTGCGTGCAGTATATACACAACAAGTATCGCCTCTCCTTCTCCATTCCTTTGGTTCGTCCAATTACCCCAAAATGGCAAATAAATAACCGTTCAAAAAGCCGTGGTATCATATAAATATCGAGAGGTTCGAACTCAGCCCCCATTTTGTGTTTCTTCTCTCCTTCGTCTTTCTCGATTCAGTATCGCTGAACGAAATCAATTCTGCCAAACTCATCCATGACCGGCTCCTCACCAGCAAAGCAGGTGTAATGCTGGTTAGCCCCATGCTCTGTGTCAAAGCCCTTGGGTCCCCAGGCCTTCTCCATCTTCTCCCGGAATGGCGACTTTGGCTTGCCGGCCTTGATGCGTTTCTTCTCGAAAAAGACGTAGGCTGCATAGAAGGTGATGTTGGTGTTGCCATCGCGGACTCCTCTACGGCCCATGAAATATCGCAGGTTGGCCGCGGACACGCTTTTTCCTTCGGGAAGGTTCTTGTTGAGAGCACGGATGAAAGCTGCCTGCGTCATGCCATCCTTGGCCAGTAAAGGACGGATCTTCTTGCGAATGTCGTTACAGGTGTCGTAAATAGAAACTGCGCCGTTCTCTTCACCAGGCAAGGGATCAACGCCACTCACGTCGAGGGCATCATCGACAGCCTTAGATGCGGCAGCCGTCTTGGGCTTCTTAGGCTTGTTGGCCTTCAAAGGCAGGCCCTGGAGCTCACGCTTTTTGAAGAAGCGATGGGCCTTAGCAAAAGTGTCGGTACCTTCGCCATCCCAGGTGCCAGTGCGGTTCATGAAGCTTCCATACGCCTTGCTGCTGACTCCAATGGTTTGCTGGAACTCGCCCACCTTTTGCGCGCCAGAATCGATCCAGGTACGGATCTTGCGACGGATGGAATTGCAAGTGTCCGAGTCAAGACGATCCAGGCGTTCATCCTCACTGTCAATGTCTTCCACGTCCGCTGGGAAGAGGTCGTTATGAGTGTTGTCGGTAGCCACGTCAGACTTGCGCTTCCTGGAGTTGGTGGCCGTGGTAGCTGGAGGAGCAGGTTGCTGTCCTCCAGAAGGCATTCCTCCTGTCATGTCATTGAAGATAGGGGGAGGTGGTCCGGCTGTTGTATATCCAGCTGTATGCGGAACAACAGGTGGTGGTGGGTTGTAGTAAACAGGGGGGGCTGGGTTATTGGGGGCATGAGGGATCTGGTTGTTATATACTGGCGGAGCAGGGACACTAGGAACATGAGGTGCCTGGTTATTGAAGACACGCGGAACTGAGTTGGAAACCGGAGGCAGCGGGTTATTATAGACAGGTGGAATTGGGTTATGAACGGGCGGGTGAGGTAGATTGAGAGCTGGCATGCTAGGTAAACCCTGAGGCGGGATATCCGGGCGCGATGCAGATGCCATTCCCGTAGAGTATTGGCTCATTTGCAGCATTGCTTGTCTGGGCGACCAAGTCCAGCCTGACATGTCTGCTGTAGGTTACGTCAAGTCGAGCGAGTATAAATAGTCGTCAGAGCGTCCCGTTAATGACCGGGAGGTTAATATGTCATAAGGCAAATTGACGAACTGCCGCACACTAGGTTATGACGTTTGTGTGGCCCACGCTTTTCTACGCGTTTTTGGTTTTGGGGCTGAACGATAATAAGCAGCGCGTTAATTTGGAGCGGGGAGTACTTGGCATTCAGGTACAGGCACTGTCTTTTAGCGTGCCAAACATTCTGGAATCCCGGGCGGCCGGCGCCCAACGGCGCACTACCGGACGATAAAGTGGGCCAGCCCCGGCCGATCTTTCGGAAGACAACCATCAAGCTCAACATCATCAATCACTTAGGGTCTTTCCAATATCTGCATGAGCTACGGTGTACAGAGCTGTGAGAGGAGAATTGTTGTTATAGTTAGATGAGCCTAAACCGTACTCTTTCTTCGCATGTGTAAATTTGCTTTGGATGGTGTTTTTGTTTTATGCTATAGAACCCGAGCAAAAATGATGACTATCATTCATTATCTATCACACTCCAGTGAAGTATTCCAGAAGACAAAAGGAAGAGCTTGATGAGACTGGGACTCGAACCCAGGAGGATTGCTCCACCAGGAATGTTAGTTGTTAAGGTTAACCTTAACCTGGCGCCATAACCAACTCGGCCATCTCACCGGAGGATCTCGGAGACCCGCTTGTTGGAGAATTTTGCTGCTAGCCAATCCATAACCGTCTGCTCCTTGAATTTGAGTGAAGAAGGCCAGCTATCGTGGTGTTCTTTGAGTGTTGATCTATCGGAGATGTTCTTGTATTGGTCGTCGTCTACGTGCCTTGATATAAGATTCTTCCGCCCGCGTTGCTTGACATGATGTTGAGAATCCGACCTTTTCTATGTCATGCTGAGCTTACTTAGATATCGAACTGGCAGGTCTGATAATAGCTGGCATGGGCCTTTTGCTACAAGTGCACGAAGAAGTTCAACTAGAATGATAAGATTATTCCAGAGAGCAAGCTGTATCAATCCCCTCCCAACCCAGAGTCCATCATCATTCATTCCAGCCTCTCAGTTGAACAACCATAGCAGCGGTAGGGCCCAAACCATATCATTTCCCATTGAATATAATGCAGCTGCAATTGCGACAGAATGGATTATGCACCTTGCGTGCTTGGGTCCACAAGATATTTCCATAGATCGCAAGCTCGACTTTGATCTCTTCATCCTTGGGCCTGAGACCTAGTCTTAGCTGTCTTAACCTCTTCGATCCGGTCATGGCACGCAGCTTACGGCGGGTCTCTTCATCGGTCTCCGCAAGTCGGTCGCGAAGGGTACTATGCAAATACCGAAATTCGGTCCTTGAAGCCCTCGCTGTGTCGCCTAGGTCGGTCAGTTGTAGGTTTTTGCGGTAGGGCATCGGATTGTGGCTGCTCGTGGTTGACATCTTGGCTGTGACTGCAGTTAGCTTGCTGATCAAATGTGGAAGATTGCTTGCAGGTTAACTTACAAGCGTGGCAGCTTGGCTAGTCTGCTGATAAGTAATCTTGCAGCTTGGGAGGTTATAAGGTAGAAGTTAGAGGAAGACTTGCTGAACGAGCAGGTAATCATTCTTACAGAGGGACTTTATGCCTTTTAGCTGGTTATATAAGCTGTTAATTTCAAGTCTCTGGCGGCTTTAATTGCAGCCTGCATGCCGTTGTCAATCGCATCCATCGATCTCGTCATCGGCTCACAGCCATAGTCTCCCATTTGGTTTCCCCCTCAAGCATATTGAGGAGGTTTTGGTTCTGTGCAGGGATGAGGTCCTCGATGTCCAAGAATAAGAACTCCCGTCTATTTGCCCGAGTAGCCAGGGAGACGATCCGAGACACGAGAGTATTGTCTACCTTGTCATGGAGGAATGGTACACGATATGCGTGTTTCCAACCGGTGAAAACGTCTGTGTAAACGAGAGCGATCGTGACAAATCTAAAAAGCAAAGTTGGTACGCGACTACTCCTGTATAACGTAAAGCAAGCAACCCACTTAATCCTTTTCAGGTTCTTTTTTTTCAAGTCCATCAGGTCTTTCCTGAAGAAGCTCCTTCAGTACAAAGGAAATATTTTAATGTGTACCTTCTACCTAAACTCTTTTCAAACGGCTTCCAATAAACCAGTTGTAGAACTGACTCGAGGCACTGCCAAATTGAATGGCGATATAACCCTCTGTGGGCGCGAGGCTTTTGTTGTGTAGCCGAAGAGTTGTTGTTGAAAGAAAAATGTGAAATTGAAATTTGTTTGTGATGAGAGGAGAAGAGAAGGGGAGGAGGGTTAGGTGCATTTCATTCTTTAATATGGTCTGCTTAATCTGGTCTCAGGAGATAGATCAACATCCGCCCTGTTCGCATATAAGTTCAATAGAAATCTAAGCGAACTCTCATTCTCCTTCTGTGCTTTCCTTTACCCATAGTGATTTAGGCAGCAGTGGCATCCAGTTGACAGTGATTCATTGTCAAAATAGAGGCGTTTGCTCTGGTCTCAGGGGGCAGATTACTGTCCGCTTTATTTACACATAAATTCAGTAGAAATCCAGGCGAACGCCGGTTTTTTTAGTGTGATCCTCTTTAATTATATTCTGGAATCCTCTCTCTGTATTTCTGCCCCTTTCTCTCTCCCGTCTCCCTCTCCCTCTCTTCCTTTGCTTTTTATCCAACTCCAACTCAACATCAAAATCAACATCAACGCCGCCTGGCATCTCACCAAAAGCCCTTCACATTCAGCTGGGTAGGAAACTATTAGCTACTGCCTCTATAGAGGCTATTCTACACGTTCAAGCTGCTTATTGTGCATCGTTCACGAAGTCAAGCATATGGGGCACCAGATCAAGCGGATCATTCTTTGAGATTAATTCCCTCTCGCTGCATAACTTCCCTCTTGTTTTCTTTCTCTCTACTTCTCTTCCTCAAGCAAAAACCATCAAAGTCCCTTCAAAGCAATTCTTCTACATATCTCGCCCAGGCCTCCTAAGAGCATCATCCACGATGAATGATCCACAAGTTCCCGCCTTTAATCCTCAGGCTTTAGAGGTAATCATCTCGAAGATTCGACTTGGTATTGCAGTCTATGAACAGACTGGCGACCCTCAGAGCATCGCCCAAATCCGCGAGGTATTGGGTGAAGCACTGGGAAGGATTGATTGATTGGAGCGTATATCAGTCCGATTCTAACAAAATCGACCAAAGCTTGCCTCTCATCCGAGAGATGTTTGAAAGTCGCGATAGCTTTGACTAGGAACAAGCCACCGAGACTGCCAAGGCATGCAAGGTATGCTTAATAAATCTAATATTAGAGAGAGACACTAACGCATAATGGATCAGGCACTTTGGGGAAGACAGACTGCACCAAGCGCGATATTTGATCTGGCTCTGGGTATTCGAGCAGGAGCCTTATCCGACACACCCATCGACGAGTCCTTGTACCGGGGATTTATTGTCGCCTTCTGTGACATCCATAAACATCGGGAAGAGACCGTCAACCAAGACATATGCGCTGATATGCCCACTTTGCTGAGGAGCGTATCGGGTACACTCGACAGAGGTCATCTTCGCCATGTATTGGACCGAATTACCGAGATACTCTCCTTGGATTCTGACCGCTTTGTGCAACAGATTGTCACAATGCTTACTGATTTCCTCAAGGATATCGAGCGAGCCCGGGATTCAGTGGAGGAAGAATCAGAGGACGAGGACTTGACTGATGAGAACGGTCACGAAGATGGTGACGAGTTATGGACGACACACTCTATACCTCAGCAAACAGGTAACTGAGTGGTAGATGATGCAACCGAGGGTTCTAGGAAGGCAGGAAATACTAGAGTTCATTCTTACCGTCGATATGATCAATGATACTTTGGGGTTGGGGGTTGGCGGTAGTTATCTACAAGGCACACTTAAGCACAAGTTGCTGTTTATCCAAGACAGTTCCAACCATAGGGACCTTCGATAGATAACATGTATTCGATCTGTTTCGCACGGGACCCTTCGCCTTGCCACAATCAACTCCAAGTTTGTAGGATCTTAGAGCTGCAAAGTGAATGTCGAGAAAGCGAAACCGCCAAATGGAGCTGTCTTTTTGGTGTGATTAATCACTCCCTTGAGGCTGTCGTCATTATCTTATTTCGGCAATACATACGCCAAAGCTTCGGTGTATTCTTAAGGCCAAATGCACTTCGACTCAAGAGTCTTCTTTATCTTGGAATTGGACCTCAGGCTCCATCAGGGAATGATACCAAATAACAGATTAGACCTGTTATTTTCCTTGTGATGGATTTCAGGAGCTTAGGGTATAGATTGCTCATCAGCCGGTACTTGACTGACCGACTAATTGGCTATCTTCTGTCCTTTCACAATTGGTCAGACCACCCATGATAATGACAGGCCTCACTTACAAGGGTCTAATCACGAATACTTTTAGCCACCAAGTACTTTTACAAAGAGTCTTTTATCGTTCTACAATGTACATGCTTGAGCTCTTGATTTTGTGTCTTCACGTCTAGCCATAGCATCTCGCAATGTCCAGTGACGCCCCCTCTGAAGCCGATTCAACGATCCATCAAACTCCTGCTTCGCACAGGACCCTTCGTCTTGTCGCGATCGCCTCATTCCTCCCCGCCTTTCCCCTCTGTCTTTCCCATGGTATCCTGTCTCATCATCCAGTTCCTGCGGTTGGCCTTGTCCCGCTCGCTTTTTCTGCCAGCGGCAGCGTGTTTCTTCTACGTAGACGAGACCACGATGATGGACCGGCGCGTAGGATCTCGCATCCGGCACTGGCCTTTGTCTTTGATGTGATACTGGCGGCAGCTTTCATGGCTGTCTTGATCTTCACATGGATCTCAGATGAACGCTTGGCTTCATTAAGTATGCTAGCCGCTTATGCGACCATTCCACTCCTCGTCAACTTGTATGTGATCCCACCAGAGAATCCAGGTTTATACCCAGACTAACTGATTTTCCAGCTTCATCCACCTTCTTATGGCTCTTCAATCCTTCTACACTGGCCTCGCCATCCGTAGTATTGTCCAGTGGCTCGCCTGGCGCGTTCTGCCACCTGACTGCCCGCACTGCGATCATCGACTTCGACCAGACTTTCCCCAGCTGCCTTGGCTGAAGAGTCTGCGACAGCGAAGACATGGGGATCATGCAGCTCTGTTTGTGGACGATGAGCATCGATACCACGATGATGAGAATGAAGAGATCTTATACCGCGCCGAAAGCGCAGCGGAAGAGGCCGAAACGTCGCAACCAGTACAACCAGAGGTGGTTGATGTAAGGAAGAAGGGCAATCGTAAGAACAAGACTGACACTCCACCCTCCAGGGAAGAGCCTGCATCACCTTGGAGTTCCTGATCAAGGAATGGTATGGTGTATTTGTCAGCTCTCTACATCGAATTATCGTCCTAGAGGATGACTTTGTTGCGGTTTAGCTTCAGCCGACTGTATGATTATCTTTACAAAGCCTTAGTGTTTCTTGTGGTGGTCCTTATGATCCATGATGATATTTCATAATGTACTTACCATTGCCTTGATTCTCAGATTGCTTGTCGGATTGCTTCTTGCGTGGGCTTCTTGTGTCTCTGAGGTGACTGCTCGTTGTGATCCACCACCTTCCTTGATTCTTTGCGTGGCTGTAGGCGTAAGTTATTG